ACTCTTTCTTTATTGCAGACTTCCAGATCTAGCCTTTTGTACAGTGCTCTTATGCTGCAAATCCCCCAAATTTGTTCACACTTGTAACTTGCCATGAACTTTGTGTGACAGAGAAAGAAATGCAAACCGGTTACCTCCAGTCTTACCATGACAACGGACGCGACAAGAAAAGCGATCCTGTACCTGTGTATCTGTCTCACTAATGGTCTGTGTGTTGGTGTAACAAGATCTGTAAAAACTCCCCTCAATGACATTTTAGATCCCCCACTGTAACTGACCTGGGCTGGGGAGTCATAAGTAGGATTTAGGTGAGTACTCTGGCATCTCTCAGGTTCCTGCTCCCCTTTTCCTAATGAATTCAACCACAAGAAAGCTTGAGATGAGGGTCTTGTTTGCCACATGGTCTTGAAACAATATCCTGTTGCACATGCTGTTTTTTGTTTGTTAAAATGTGACTTTTTCCCCCCCCAAACAGGCAGGTAAATCTGCGTTCAGTTGTATTCATTAAGCAGTTCAAAATAGGATCTTTAATATAGCTTTGCTTTTGTTCAGGAGAGACAAGTCCCCAATAATAATGCTGAGTGATGACTGCTTAAGCGTCCTGCATTAGAGCACTTTGCAGCTTCAGTGCAACTCGGACCTCTCCTAACTCTTCTGTTCCCTCTGCTGGGAAAGGCAGATATTGCACACCTCTCAAAGAGTATGAAGCAGACAGGAGCAATTACCTTTTTTAATATTTATTTCTTCTATCAGAGTATTAGAGCATTCAAGATCTCCCACTTTGTGCTCTGGAAGCCAGCTGCCCTCTTTGCGAAGGCACATATAGGCGAAGGCCTTGCAGGCACTGTTCTGTATGAAATATCAATGTGAATGACTCATTCCCAAGTTTGGTGTCAGTCATCTTTGCAAATGCCAAACCTATTATCACCAAATCTTTTCAAGGAGTTGTTTTGTCCATCTGCCAGCCATAGTAGAAGGAGGATATTTTTTTCCAGCTGCTGTATCTTCTCTAAGGAGTCTTTTTTTCTTTTTCTTTTCACAGTGGGAGCATACCTTCAATTAAGCTCTTCTGAAAGACTTACTAAACATGCAATTTTCTTATTTTATTTTTTTATTTTAATGAAAATTTAGAGAGGTGTGGTGTTTTTGCGGTAGTTTAAGATGCTCCCAGGGGTTAAAAACTGGCTACCACTTCTAAAAAGATTATGGATCAGTTTTCCATTATTTCGATCATTGAAAAAAAAAAAAAGCTGGATTTTTTTCAAGCCCACAGTTTTCCTACAGTTTTGCAAAAAAATTGTTTTTGACAGGTTCTGTTCACTCCTGTAGAGACCCAGTTTGCCTCCTGGTTTACCTGTATCAATGATTTTTATAGAAACAGCCTACTTTGCTTTATGTGTTTCTGTTTTCGTTTTCACTTTTTTTTCTCTATTGAACAGCACAACAGGCAAGTTCATTATGCGTGTGACTCATCCCACTAGCCCACACCCCCTCCCCATCTGCTGTTGCGCGCTGGAAAGGAGAAGGGAACCGCCATTGATCACTTCTTCTCTCACACATGCACGCACACGCCCTCTCTTCAACGTCACTATCGATCAGCATGTTTAATGTTTATTTTTGTAAAGAAAGGTGGCATTTCGCTTTAGAACAATTTCACATCTGTTTCATACTCATCAATGAGAGTATAACAAAGGAGGAAATGAGAGAAATAAGCAACAACAAAAAACTTGATAGCTCCTTTTTTGTCTGATTGCCTAGACAGGACTATCTTTCATGTAATAATTGAGTTCTGAATTGGAGATTTCTTGTGTGTTATCCATGCAGAAGAGACAGTGACCCAGCTAACAGTAAATATGGTGCATAATGCTTGACAGTTATTGCTCATTTTACCATTCCCTCTCTCCAGTGACTCGATTAATACGGTAATGTTTGTAACACTTTAACTGATTATGACAATATGTCATTGAGTTTCCTTTGAAATAAGCAAAAGAAAAAAAGTGTTTACCGATTTGTAAAGTTTAGAAGTTACGAAATAAAAAACAGAAAATCTGCTATACTCTGCTAAAACCTTAGTTTCCATATTAAATTGGCATTTTGCATGCATACATTTATTAAAATATGTATAAAAGAGAAGAACTGTGGGACGCTAAAATTCTAACTGCATTATGGGGTTCATCCAGTCTGTTTTATTTTCATCATTTATTTTGCCGTTCTGTTTTGTCAGTTAAAGACTGGTAGATGCCAGCGGGTCTAATTGATTCTTCCTTCATCAAGCCAGCTTTCAAAGGAAACAGGTAGTTGCTTTTGCGCTCTGATATTGTGGGTTAATAACAGAAATTTCATCAGTTTATGCCAGGTATGCTAAGTGGAATATGAACAAAATGACCCTTTATATTTGCCCCAAAAAATTATTGAAATGTAGATTTAAAAGATGTTTTATGAATAATCATACAGATCTCTCCACTCAAAGTGAGGAGAAAAATACGGTGAAGCTGTGGGCAAAATAAACGGATATTAAGTTTCTTGGGGGGCAGAAAAGGGCTTTTTTTGCTTGTTTACTTCAGTTATTAGAGATTAAAAAAGATTATTTGATAAAAGATTCAAAGATTAGGAATTACTTCGTTTGAGATTGGGTTTGATGGCAAATGGTAAAAGTTCAGTTCCTAAACTACATCATTGCAGTCTCATGGCAGACTAGATGGCATGTATTAATGAAAACATATGAGACTTAACACGTGTTAAAATTACCCTTCAGCAAATCTACCCTGATAGTTTTGTGGTTTAATGCTTCCTGTTTCCTGTTTGACGTTACTGTAGATTAAAACTTTCTACCAATCCAAATATTTTGCACCTTAAATATAGATAACTACATTTATGAAAGTCATCAAAGAGGTAGTTTGACCAAGGAGAAGGTTTCAACCCAAATTTAATCCAAAGGGTTTGTTTTTTTCCTGCCAAAAGGAAGTGAGCAACTTAAAAGTTAATCAGCTTTCATGTGACACTGAAGTTTTATGTTTTGGAGAGATTTTAAAAGGAGTTAGGGATGCAATTTTCCACAACCCTTGTCCTGAACAGAACAAAAAAAAAACCAAAAGTTTTACTGCATGGTTATCTGCTTGTATAGCCACCTGTACCTGCAATAGCCAGCTTCAACAAGTCTCCTCAACCTGGCCTCGAGGTTTTCTCTCCATGGGGCACTTACAGTTTTTATCTACCACATTACATGCACTCTGGCCCTAGGCCCTTTTATCACAACAATTTTTTTCATATAAACTTCTTTCTTGTATATATGTGTAGTGTCTCTATTCTACTTACCTTTTTTTTTTTTTTTACATATTCTGCTTACCTTTTTTACTTATTATACTTACCATTTTTTACCTATTTACCCTACCTATTTACCTATTCTGCTTACCTTTTTTACTTATTCTACTTACCAGTTTTTACCTATTAACCTATTCTACTTACCTTTTTTACCTATTTACCTTACCTATTTACCTATTCTACTTACCTTTTTTGAGAAAAAAAATCTTATTAAATCTACTTAAAATTACTTCCCTCAGCAGGATGTTCCAGGTACCTTTCAGGGTTGCTCTTTATTAAGATCCAACTTCCTATTAACTTTCTACTAGTCAGCAGCTGGCTGTATAATTTGGCTGCCGTTACAAGCAAGCAGAAATCAGATAATTAATTTGCCAAGAAAATAAAAACAAACTTGCGAGACCTTAGCCAGTTTACACTGCACATTGAACTGAGATTTCATCTAAGGGTGCACAATATTAGGAAACCCAAATTACAGCATTCTTCTTAAATCCTGCAATGACAGTACCAGTTATGATTAACCAGCATTTGTTTTAAACTGTTGGCTCACTCTCTGGTCATTGCAATCACCCCTGTATTCTTTTAGTACCGGTAATTGGTTTTTGGTCTAAAGGGCTAAAGCAGACTTGCCTGTAAGCCACCAAACACTAATTGATTTCAACAAATAATGTATATTAGTGACAAACTTTAATGTATGGCACCTGAATTACTACCAAATACTGCAACCAAACAGTCCTTTCAGATAGCAGTACATGTATTGAATATTCTTTTGGTTTAAACACTGTGCAGCTCTAATGGCAGCAATTTATCACAAAGACAAGTATGCAAAAAACAAGATTTTTAGGAAAACAGGATATTTCATTATTAAGTTTTGAATATTGCAATGTATGGATGAAACGATCCGGTACTTTTAACAATTTTTTAACCATGAAAAGTCTATCACTAGAATTGACCAAATATACTTTTTGCAAAAATATGCAATATAATGGCCTATCAAATGTGTTATAGGCAAAGTGTATTTTGTAGGATTCCAGGATCCCAGTTTTCAATTTAGATGAATAAATGTACCTATACCATGTATGTTCGATATAGAGCGAAGCTTAGTTGTCATTTTAATTTAAGTTTATTTTGATTTTTTCCAATTTTAACTGAGGACAAGGTGATTTTATATTTTGAAGCAATTAATTTGGTTTCTGAAGAAGATTAATGACCGACTTAGCCTGCAAATTAACTATTGTTGTTGGAAATAACGCACTGTCATCTCTGACATTTTCCAGAACTTGCTGGAGATTATAACCAATTTCAAGAATGATTAAACAAACACAAGCCGTGTCATGCTTGTTAGCTCAGTAATGTTTTTACTTGTCAAAACTTAAACAAGATGTAAAGGGTCAAAATAAGCATAGGGATATAAACTTATTAAACCTTGTTAAAAAGCCATCTTACTTTAGAAGAAAGTAAGGATATATGTATATTTATATGTTATATATTTAATTTTTTTTCTCATTTTGTCATTTAGATTTTGTGTTGCTTGAAATAAGAGATACAAAAAATGTTTTGACTGTAGACTGCTGTCAAAGAAATACTTAAATAATGAGCTAACATTGTGACCATGATGAATCGTGCAATACGGAGCCCTGTTGTGAGATGAATGTGTTGTTTTCTCTCTTTCTCGCATGTAGGTGGTCCTGGACATGACATTCGGTGGTGGTGGTCATACCAAAGCGATACTAAACACGGTTCCTGAAGTCACGGTCCTGGCCTTGGATCGAGATCCCGAAGCTATTTCTCTGGCTCAGCAGCTAGCCAAGCAGCACTTGTGAGTGATTTAGTGCAGAAGTCCGAATATACCTGGACACAAGTTTGGACTTAAAGCCACACACTGTCTAGACAAATATTTATGCTGTCACATGGCTAATATTTTACCTCTGCTTTATATTGTAACAGTTGACAGCTTGGCAGTTGTGAGGAGTGTTAGGTTTTATGGTCATTTCTTTCCCTTAAAACATACTGTTGGCTTGATAAACAGCAGCATTGCAGCTTTCCATCCATTTCTCACTTCTTCCCTGAGACCAATCCAATACAGCTTGCCAAGATACAGCCCATGAGTTGCAGCATCCAATCAAATCCATCCTTCCTTCTTAACTTAAAGCTTTTCTCCCCCCACGCAAAGCTGGTGGGCCCGGCATGTCATTTGTCAGAGGAGAGCCCACGCCTGTTTTGTGAGGGAGATGCTGCCTCCCACGGAGGATCCATAAGTTATAGGAAAGAGGGAGGGGGTGGCAATGGGTGTTTCAGAAGTGAAGGGAGAAGAAGAAAAAAGACAGTGAGGAGGGAGACACGAGGACACAGTGCCAGGGTGAGAGGGAGGGAGTGCGTGTGTGTGCATGAGCGAGGCGCGGGCGGATGAAAATGAGATGTTCCTAAGACCATGGCGTGGGAAGGAATCCTTTTACGTAGATTCTGGGGAAACCTCTCTCAAGGGAATCTGCTGGAGAAATGTGCCTGTGAGCAGGGGAATGACAATTAAGAGAGAGAGCGAGAATGAGAACCCTGTATTCTGTCAGCAGCAATATACCCCTGCTGTAAACCGCTTCATGCCTAATCGTGATGCAAGTTGAGAGAGACTTGAGAAATCTAGCAATTAACCAATATTATTGCGAGCCTAAGTAAAAGACCCCTTCAGCCTATGCAGTCCATCCACACAATAGGGTTAGAGGATTTTCTCACTCCTCTCTATTCCTGCAGCTTGTGGAAAGTAAATCCTTTATGCAAACTGTTGATTGCTGGTGAAGCTAGTCGTACCACACAAGAAGCGTAATTTCAAGTCCAAACACCTAAAAAGCACAAGGTTGTAAAGGCAGCTCTGCTTCCTAAGTAATATTCACCCATGTATTTAATGGGATTTGCCTCCTGCATGTTGAGCCTTGCTATTCTCTGCATCATTCTTCTTGTTGCTATGACTTCAATGCGCTTGAAGCTCTGCAGTTGTGGCGCCCACAATACATGTCTGAAATGGCACTAGTCATTATTTAATTGTCAAACATTGGATTGGTAATTATACATTGGGCCACACACACTGATTAATGATTTACTTATCATCAGCATAGAATCTGAATTCTTTAATGCATAACAAGGAAATGTAGTAGTTCACTGGTGTTTTAAGGCTTTGTTCTAGTATGTTTTACTCGCCCTGTTTTATAATGTGTATCATTTTTGCTTAAAGGATTTAGATTGTGTTTTAAAAGAAAAGCAAAACAAAAAGAGATCCTCTTCCTAATCGACCTCGAATAAAACAGTCTTCAGTGTTCCTTGGATATTAAACTTTCTTGTTTTGGCTTGTGAGCTGCAGAAATCCTCATCAGAACTTATAGAACATCTCGTTCTACATTTCGTAGAAATATGCTGAAAGCTCTCTATCGAATCTGAATGCAAAGTTTTATGTGCATCCAGTGTTTTTAGTCATATTTTAATAGCTTCTAACGTTCTTCTTGATGGAGGATGGTAATACTAGACGTACTATTGCAGCCCATAAAACAGGGCTTCTAAACTTGGAAAAACTTCAAAGAACCACATAGAAATACTTAAAGACCAGGGTTTTATAAAGTCAGTATGTTGAGAAAAACACTGTGGCTGCGGCCATTGATTCAACATAATATGTTATTTTTTCATAACATTTATTTGAGATATAGTGTTTTAATAAACCAAGGCTCACACAGAGATTATTCCATAAAATTATTATATGGCCAAACTGCAGGCAAAGAAAAGTTCTAAAGACGAAATTATTTTGTTATTGATTTTTTTTTTAGTGCTGGTTTGAATTTGGGCTTGCTCTTGTGAACTATTGGTTTGGATGTTGAAAGCCCTCTTTGGAAAAAAGGCTACAAGGTGTATTTGCTATGTGTCTGCATATTAAATGCAGTAAATGTCTATGAGGTATTAGCAAATACATTGTAAGACGGCTGTCCAGGAGAGAATAAGAAATCAGCCCGTCATCCAGTCATTTCAGCACACCCACATTAGTAATGTATCAGTCATCACTGTATTGTGATTCATTTCAACTACATAATAAAATCTATAAAGTGTCTTTCTGTGATACAAAGTGACTCATGGGAACAATTTCATCTGATACATTGTCAAAGCTAAAGCTAAAAAAATATAGAAGTTTTTAATTGTTGATCACTGTTTAAATGTAGCACCTGTTAAAGAAGTACTCTACCAATCAGAGCCAGATGTTCATCTACTGTACTACATGCATTAAAGAGATATTCAATTCAATCACGGAAGAGTTAGTTACTATTAAATCAAATGTCAACCAGTCTGCTAATTGAAGGATATTTTTTGCACAGTTATATTTAAACAGAGTTGCTCTTCTTTATTTAGCCGTTGCCATGGTCAGTCAAAGTATGAAAGCTTCATTGACACTGGCTTTTTTATCCCCAATTACTGATACACACACGTAACTCGGAGTGAAAACATTTTAAATTAACCGCAGTAAATCTTAGGAACTGAAAAGGAAAACATAACCATTTTCTGTCCCGCAAGTTTGGTGAATTCAGAAATTTGATAAACCTGTTGTCTGGAAGAGGCGCCTATATTTGCTTTAAAGATGCTTTCTAAATATTTCCGATGATCGTATTACACTTAGCAACAGTGATGGTTGTAATATTGTTCCTTAAAAAGGGTTTCAGCGGGTCATTAAAAAGCATTAAAAGTCATTAAATTATTTTTTTTTTATTAAGGCCTTAAGTGGCATTGAAATTCATTAAATGTGACTATCATGGCATTTAAAATGCTTTATTAAAAAAAATAATAGAAATTTTGTAAAATATATCAGATTTATCTGGTTCTACGTGTTTGCGTGGAACTGCTCCTGGTTGATCCTAAAGCCATTTGTTCGGAACAGAAGCTCGAGGCACAGAAAAAGGTATATAAATATATATATTTCTAAGAGCATTAAAAAGCATTAAATTAAGAGTTCCTCCTTCCTGTTTACACCCTGTTAAAGGAATTGTCAAATTAAACCAATTTAGATCAGACACAGAAAGAGCAAACAATTATTGATAAGGATGCTTCCAGACACCTTTCAAAGTAGTTTAGTTGATGTTTGGTCCCTTCTTCCTGAAAGGACTGGTGTACTTGACTGAAGTTTGAAGATGAGGAGATGGAAGGAATGCTCACACGTCTACAGCTCTTTCCAAATGGATAAACATACATTTGTATAGAATAATTAAATTAGACTAAAATGAAAAGTGAAAAATAAACAAAAAAAGATGTTTGTTTAATAAAATATATGCACAATAAGAGTAAGCAGCCATTTATTTACCAACCCAAACTAATTACCTACTAGAAAATCTTTCGTATCCCACTTTAATTAAGTTGAGGCTCTTTTTTTTTTAGTACAAAAAAAAAAACTGACAAGGTCCAGTTTTTATCCCTCTTTTATTCTTTTATTTTTTTCAGTCACTGTTTTTGTCCCCTTTTCCCTGCTGAAAGCAATCAATCAGTATCTTGTCTTAGGCTTCAGTGACGTAGGTAAAGAAACTAAGGAGGTGAACACAATGGAATATTTCTGGCTTGATTTGTAAAGAGGCTGCCTCATATTGAATGACCATGGTTCAATCCGAGGTTGCTGCTTCTCTAGTATTATAATAAAAATGTGAGATGAGATGGAAAAGTGAAGTGAGTGAAGGACATTGACCTTTTTTTTCTTTTTCTTTTCAATAGTCAACAGAAATGGTCAGACTGACATTTTGGTGTCTCGGAAATGTATTTCTTCTAGGTAGGCATGGCACTGTAGATGTTTGCAGATTCTGTAAAGAGCAATTCTTAACCTCATTATGTGGTTAGTGGAAGATTAAACAAGATGACAAGATTGAAGCATTTCATCAACTGCGGTCCGGACTTTTGAAATCAGGAAATATTTGTAGACCTTTAGTGGGAAGCATATCTTTTTACCATTTTTATTAAATTTTTTTTAGATGGGAGGCTCCACTTAAAGGAATAGTTCACCCAAAACATGATTAGCCTTCATTTTCTACTCACCCCCATGCTGAACAACACTCTGGAGTACTTTTTTGATATCTCAAATGCATCTGGAGATCTGGGAGGCTTCTTGCTGTCTGCTGCCATTCAAATAATGGAGGTCTGTGGCGCCCGAGGCAGAAAGGTCCATAAAAGTCCACAAAAAACGTGTCAATATTCCTCCATACTGCTCGTCCAATGTATTCCAAGTGTCCTGAGTGGGTAGCGTCCATAATTTACTTGAAACGAAGTCATTTAGAATGTTTTTAGAGCATAAACAGTAGTGTATAGGATTTCCTAAAAGCACGTTCACGAGTCTACGGAAACCGCGGCAGACCAAACCAGACTAAAGTGCGCATTCAGCGTCTGCTCTGCCAATAATGCAAGCGTAGAGGAAGAAATGTGCTGTTTACCTGTGCAAAGAAAGAAACAACGAAAGAAAAATGTCTGAGGACTTCAGTGTTGAGGAAGAGCATGAGTTCTTTGCCGAGCTGAATGCGCACTTTCGTCTGGTTTGGTCTGCCGCGGTTTCCGTAGGCTCGTGAACTTGCTTTTAGGAAATCCTATACACTACTGTTTATGCTCTAAAAACATTCTAAATGACTTTGTTTCGAGTAAATCATGGGTGCTACCCACTCAGGACACTTGGAATACATTGGACGAGCAGTATGGAGGAATATTGACACGTTTTTTGTGGACTTTTATGGACCTTTCTGTCTCGGGCACCATAGACCTCCATTATTTGAATGTCAGCAGACAGCAAGAAGCCTCCCAGATCTCCAGATGCATTTGAGA